AAAAAAAAAAAAAAAAGAGAGATAATGAGAGAGAGAAAGAGAAAGAGGAAAATCAAGAGACAACTAGTTTTTGAGAGTTGTTGAGAATTCAGGCTGTAGGGGGCCCATATTTAGGCTGATGCAGGATCAAAGTGAAAAGACAAAGTCACATGAAATGGAAATTCGATTTTTGTAAAGCTCATAGAAGTGTTAATAGCCGATTTGATTGGATAATGCATGAAATTGAAAAATATCAGGCGTTATACGGGGATCCCAAGAATTCGGCTGGGGGGAACCTTCTCGCATTTTGCACCCAAAAACTCTCCCCTGCGCACGGCCCCCGCTGGAGGCCACCAAGTTTTCCAAGCGCCAGAATCCAGGTGCGTTAGGGGCACAAGTGTCCCAATTAAGTGTGCAAACTGTCCCATGTGACACACGTCCTAAGTGTCCCAATTGGGCTGAATGTCCCGATAGTTGCGCATGTCCCAAGTATAGCGAGGTTTGAATTCCAGTTGGCGGTGCAGCGAAATACTAGCCATGGCTCATCATCTCTCTCTCTCNNGGAAGCCCAAAATGTTTAAAGTTCTTTTATTGGCTAAGTAAGTCATCTCCATGGCCTCAGGATGACGCTCGGAGCTACACTCCGGGGTCCTCTCTGCATACGCATACTCCACTGGGGTTCTTTCTTGGACACCTCTGAAAATGCAAAGCGCTTCGGGTATTCCGAGAGCTCCGCTACCACGTCGAGATGTAACAGGTGTGGCGCAGCCCTCCCTTCGGACACGGCGCTGGTCAAAAGAGCCTTGAATCAAGGCTTCTGAAAAGATTCTCTTTCTGTGGTCTGCAGCGCAGTTGGGGGGATTTTAAGATTCTGGGTTTGGCATATCCAGACATTATATGCTAGGGATACTGCACCGGTTCCCATGTCATTTTCTCTTTTCCATTTGATGCTCCACTATTCGGAGAAGTTCCTAAACCCACATACCCTTTAGTCTAAACTCCGAGTAACCCCCTTAATAACCCCTATAGTAGTTCCCTATATAATCCGTTAAATAACCACAATAAGGAGTTTAGACCATAGCTCACATTGCGCCAACAAAGTTTAAGATCCCTCCGCCCCAAGTTTAGTGTTTAGGGTTTAGGTGTCACAGAAAAGAGATCAGCATGAAGCTCACGCTTAGGATTAAGGCGATTAGGGATCAGTTGTCCCTTCATTCTGTGAGTGGCGCTACGGGAATTCTGCGCGGGATCCTTTAAGAGATGCCTGGAAGCAGGAAATCTCATACCACCCTGTATGTGTCATAGTCTAAACTCCTTCAAGGGGTTATCTAGGGGATGACAGAGGGGACTATTTTAGGGGTTATTGAGGGGATACTAAGAGTTTAGACTATGGCTCATGTACCTTACACCTTAAGAAGAACATTGATCCCCTCCCCTAATATTGAAGCCCCGAACATCCCCAATATCAAATAGCATTAAGAACATGTGGGAATATCGGTTAAATATTAGGAGGAGGAGATTAGCTTCGGCACCCCTGAACTCTAAATCCTGAGATTTTCTCCATCCACCCAGAGTCCTGACACACTGCCAGACCGGTTCTGCTAGGCCCACGACCATACAATGCCATCTACTGGGCAAATTACAAACCCTAAACGGTTTTGGATTTAGGTTCTTGGGGTGAATTTTACTATTTTACTATCTTATTCTATTACTATATTACTACATTACTACAATGCTATATTTCCACTACAACTAGGGGTCAGCTCATTTGACTTCGTCATATTTTGCCTCTCATCCAGGGCTTGGAGTTTAGGATGTCGGACTCCCACATCGAGTCCAAAGATCTAAAACTCTGAGATGATAACACGCCAAACTCTACCCTGATATCCGATTCTCTAGCCTTGGAACAAGCAAACATGAAACCCGGCTGCACTTGGTTGCTCACAGGTGCACAACAAAACTGGCTCAAAAATCTAAACCCTAAGTCCAGCGAACCTTGAATCAGGAGCTCTTAAGCTTCAACCCTCATTCTCAAGACGCGCAATGAAGTCTGAACTCTGAACCGCAAACCCTTTAAACTCTGAAGCCCCAGAGCTGGGACCTAAACCCTAAACCCTAAACCCTGAACCCTAAGCCCTAAACTCTGCAGCTTGGGACTATCTGGGGGTTTCCTATAATTGGGGGTACCATTTTGGGGGTCCCATAATAAGGACTATAGAATTTTGAGGTCTATATTGGGGTCCCCCTATTTTGGGAAACTACCATCTAGGACTCAAATCCTTAGGATGGCGTGGCCTCCGTTGGCTTTTCAGCTAAGAGCTCGCAGATCCTTACGGTACAAGCTTCTCAACAAAATAAGGCCCCTACTTAGAGCGCGGTGTAATTTTTAGGTTTTTGGCTATTCTTACTGCAACTATAGCCCAATTACAACCAAATTTCGGGGGACCCAAGGGACCTATAAGGGCGGTATACGGACAATTATAAGCAGGTGATAAGTAGCTCGCCCCTCCAAGGAAGGACCCCCAAGGGATATGCCGGGAGGATAAGGGAAGTAGGGGATTCCCTTTGTTGAAAAGGGGAAATCTGTGTGTTGGAATTTAGTAAGAATTCTGTAGGGAATGTGTTGGGATATACCGGTGAAACTTCTTTGGCTCGAGGGGCTTGGGAATCGTGTGCTTAAGTTGGTTTAAGCATGTTGATCTTCAATATATTAGGCTAACACCAACTCCTTCAAAGGGGGGACCTGAAGGATTCTTTGGATGTACAGGGTATATTGGGATTATACGGGGATTATGGAGGGGGGGCCTTCTGAGAGAAAGGAAGGGGAGTATGTGAGACCTCCCAAAAAAACCTGAGCGAACACCGGCTCCTATGCCCCAAACCAAAAACTCTACCCGCAACCCGAGGGTTTGGGCAAAAAGGGTCGCTGTTTTTACTAAACGGAGAGCGGCAGCATTTTGCTCAACCAGAACGAATTAGATCTGATTTCCATGGGGACGAATATCTGAAGCACTGCCATAGGTAGAATGGGATTTTGGGGGAAACCCTGAACTCTAAACCCTAAACCCTAAAACCCTAAAACCCTAAACCCTAAAACCCTAAAACTCTAAACCCTAAACCTTAAACCGGTCCCGGGTTTTTGCCGTATATTTTCCATGTTGTTTTGTATTTGTTTTTCCGGTTCCTCTTGCTTTTCCTAATAGCAATAGTAAAAGCAATCGTATTAGTAATACTAATAGTGATAATAATACTAATAGTAATCGTAATAATAATAGTAATGATAATAGTGATAGTAATCGTAATAGTAATAGGAATAGTATTGGTAATAGTAATAGTAACAGTACTTGTAATAATAATAATACAGGACTAGTAATAGTAATAGTACAGTACGAGTAGTAATAATAATAGTAATAATAATAGTAATAGTAATAGTAATAGTAATAGTAATAGTAATAGTAATAGTAATAGTAATCGTAATAATAATAAAAATGAAGATAGCAATAATAATAATGCTAGTAATATTAGTAATGATACAAGTACATGTACTAGTAAAAGTACTAGTAGTAGTAATAGTAATAGAAATAGTGAGGTTCCTCTTGCTTTCCTCAATAGTAATAGTAATAGTAGTAGCAACATTAATAGTGATAGGAATAGTAATAATAATGAAAAAATTATGGTGATAGTAACAGTAATGGTGGCGGCGGAAGTAGGGGTGGCGGTAGGGGTGGCGGTGGTGTCGGTGGAGACGGCGGTGGCGGTGGCGTCGCGGTTGCGGTGGCGCTCTCGACGGCGGCAGTGGTAGCGGTGGGTGGTGGTAGTGGTGGCAGTGATGCTGTTGCTGCTGTTGTTGCTGTTGTTGTTATTGTTGCTGCTCTTGTTGCTGCTGATTTTGTTGCATATCCTCCATATACTTGTGAGAAAATACGCAGTAGTTGTGAATCTTCTCCACCAAATATGGGAGGCTTTGCGAGCACAGATAGCATTATAGAGGCTGCTGCGGAATGGAATATGTCAATCATGTTGCGCGGGGACTCGGAAAAGCTTCTTGAGCCAACGCACGACTGCACGGGCTGTCTTGGCTCCCTGCGCAAAGTGCGCATGCTCCCCTCGATTGCGAACTGGCAACTCGCTCTGAAGGTGGCTCGACTGGCACAATTTTTTTCCGGCCAGCACCCATGAGTACTTATGAGCCTGTCACGCCTCGGCCCTCTCCCCGCGCATGAGACTTCCTTCCTTGGGGACTATAATAATTGCCGTGCGAGGTACATCTGAATTTCAGCTCTTGCATAATTGATTTGGGCGAGGGGAGCGCCAGATGTGTGGACACTGCAAGCGCTATCCGCTATCACTCTGGAGGGTAACGGCCATAGACTTGACGGAGTGCGACATATTTGGGCTGCAATGGCGTCATGGCCTTGGCCTTAGCCTTAGCCGCCGACGAGGAAGCAGGCCTGGCTGAAGCAGAGGGTTTTGGAAGAGCTGCAGCAGACGTGGAGTGAACGTCTGGCGTAGACGATGGGACATTCTGGGCACACGTGTTGAGGCGGTAGCTCTCAGCTGGAGACATCTTGAAGAAATGGCGCAAGTCCGCGAAACTCATCTCCAAGATTACGGGCAAGGAGATCTGCTGGGAAGCGAACATATGGCGATAGTGCAACAGGCCGGCTTCCCGTAAGACCTGGTCCAGAATGGGGTCCGACACTGGATCAGCCTCTCCGTCAGCATTGGCCTCGTCTGCCCCTTCAGCCGGGTCCGCTTGTGACGCGTGGGCCGCGGACGTTCCCAAGCCCGAAAGGCCACTCTGGGCTGAGCGACTAGCCTTGGGCGGCCCTGGCCCACGCTTTTGCTTGGGGCATATGTGAACTGAAATCTGCCCAGAGCCAGCAGGGCCAGATACAGATGTTCGCAGGGCCCGTGAAGCACTGCGTGTGCGCAAAGGAAACAAAGGCCTAGGTGATGGACGTTGCCGTCCTCAGATGGGTCCGTGACGTTGCGCAAGGTCCACATGCGCTGCGTATTCGGCCCCAACACGACAAGCCGCAAGTCTGAAAACATCCGCACGGCCCGTGTCCAGTTAAAGCTGCACGCTCTGGGGTCATATACCCGCAACTGCTCTAGCGCATGCTCAGCTTCGGCCACAGATGTGGCAAAACACAGCGAAACCCAAGCCTGCACATCTGCATCCTGCATGGCAAGAGGATCGCGCGACACGAATTTGCGCATCATGTCCTCCACCCGTGTTGGCCGTAGCTTCGAGATAAAGACCAGGAAGAACATGTTGCCGCGCGTATCCGTACACACACGGTGCTTCTTCCAGGCCAGGAGCTCAACAGCACACGTACGCCCCTGACGGGCCATGGTTTGCTCCCCTTTGAGAACGCGCTGGTCCAGATGGCGCGCCACGTTGGAAGTACTCGCCCTTTGTCTCCATGTTCCGAAGCCTCTTCAAGGCGGCGCCTACAACTCTCTGTTGGAGACTACTTGCAAGCTGGCAGCATGCTCCGACTCACACTGGTATTTGAAAAAAGCTTTCATGTCCGGAGCCTCAGGAGTACCTACGTTTCTCAGTCGGACGTGGCCGTTCCACGTACAATCTTCTCCATAGAATCAGAAGCAAGAGAGTCAGCAGCGCTTGAAGCAGGCCTCTTGCGTGCGCCTACTGCGCGCGCGCTTTCCAGTCGCCTGGTCTGCAGAAGGCCGGCTCCTCTTCTTTGGAGGTGGCGCAGCAGCCTCTGCTTGTCCTTGCTGCGCGCGCTTGCCACCGCCTCGCAGGCAAGGTAGCTCTGCAGCAAGCTGCGGTGTCAAGGCATTGCCCCTGTGAAGGTTGCCACCTCCTCGCATTTTCGGGAGAGCAGGAAGCGAGTCTGTGTTTGCAAAGCTTGTGGGCCACACGCTCAGCGGCACTTGCAGGCTCTCAGGAAGCGCTGGGCATCTGGGCTGAGGCCACAGCGGTGAAAGGCCTGGCAGTGACCATCACCACTGCCACGCCGCCGTGTCTCAGAGATGCTGCCAAGGCCTTTGGAGTGCAAAAATTTGAAGCGAGCCAACGTTCTGCATGCTTGGCAGCGCCCCTCAAGGCGGTGACGTGGTTCGAGAGATCAGTCATTGTGATTGGGTCTCGGACACAGGTTAGCAACACCTTTTTGACCAAAGCTCTTCTGGGCTCAATGTTTCTTCATGGGGCGATGTGGGCAGCTGATTAGTCTTCACAGCAAAGTGGGACGCCTCAGTGTCCGTGACAGCACAACCTAGAAAAAGCCTTTTGGAGTAGTGCAGGATACCAAATTTTTATGGCATCATCACTGCAGAGGAGATCTTGCAGACCAGCTTGGCTGGCAGCACAAAGATGTGTGAGGAGAGCTGCAGATGGCACCAGGTATTCCATCTTCCCAAACGCAGCCTTGACTGCGCTTCGCCAGGCTTGTTTCTTTTCCAGCGCATGGATTGCATAGTAGAGATCCGTGATTGCATGCTGAGCAGCAGCGCTTGGGCGGAATGTGCAGCAGACCGGACTGGACAGGTGGTCCCAAGCGGTGTCAGTCCACAGCTTTCGCAAGATGGGGGAAACTGGTGCTTGTGGCTGACGGCCCAGGGCACGACTGACAATGGCCCGACCTGTGAAGCCGGTGACAAGCCTTGCCATGAACCCGCAATTGTGGGTGCATTCCACGCGCGCCCACCAGGATCTAAGGACACTAAATTGTTGGAAGAGGCAGAGGTTGATATTTGTAAAAACCTAAACCCAAGAATCATAGGAAAGGGGCTTAACCCTAAACCCTACAGCCTAAACCCGAAACCCTAAACCGCGTCCCACTGCAAGTTCAAGAGGCTCAGTGATCTGTGGGAAGTCCACCTCGCCAAGCTAATATAGGGGTTATATAGGGGTTATATTGGGATTATATAGGGTTACATTGGGGTAATATTGGGATAATGGAAAAGAAAATGGAAACTACCATTTGGGCTTAGAGTTTAGAGCTTAGGATTCAGGGTTTAGGTCTTGGGCTCGGGGCTTAGATTTTGGGGTTTAACGCTTCAGGCTTAGGTTTGGGGCTAAGGTTTTTTGGGGTTGAGACTGAAGGGCTTGGGGTGGAGATAGGCTCGTAATGAGAAAGTTATGAAGCTTCTCGAGGCCAGGTTCCTAGACTAGGCCCCTGATTAATAAACCCCTTAATAGGGTATATAATAGGGATCCTAATATTAAGGCCCTTAACCCTAAACCCTAAATCCTAAAATGGGTCTACATTATACAGCACTGCACAGCCTCTGTCCATTAGCTGGGGAAAAAACTCGGCACATCAAGCTCTCAGGGTTTTAGGGTTTAGGGTTTAGGGTTTAAGGGTAAAGCCCCAAAAGACCCAAAGCCATAAATCCAAAGCCGTAAACTGGGTTGCTGTTAAGGAACTCTTTCCAATGTTTATAAAAAGGAAACCCCGTTATTTAGTGCATGCCCATACGCATAATATGGTGATTTGAATTAAGTTCCCGAACCCTATAGTGATGATGACGCGCTCGCCCCTCCAGTTGACGTTGCGTGATCAGGTAGGGCTTAATGTAGACCCCCGATTAATAGACCCACTCCCCTGAATATGGATTATAATAGGGATCCTATAAAATTTGGGCCCTTAGAGGGAGGGGATTTATTAACTAGGGGTCTACGTGAGGGTTGAGGCTTCTGGTCAAAAGGCTGAGTTTAGGCTCTAGTTCACAGCTTTCAGTCGGAGGAGTTTAGGATTTTGGCTGAGAATGGAAGAGCAAATGGAAACTACTGTATTCATTAGCGTACGGGGCGTGGGAGTCATCATAGAGTTTTCAGAAATCCAACCTCCCAAGAGTTGAGAATCAAATAGAATATGACATGGAGCATGAAATCATGAAATGGAAGCTGGGTAATCATGGGGAATAGGGGTTTGTGCTGACCCAAACCCCACAAAGCAGGAATCTACCACTGTAGTCATATGATCTCCGCAAGCTCTGATTTTCGGGGTTGGGCTTACCAAGACCCTAGATAGTAGTTTCCATTTTTCCATTATACCCATATAACCCCTATATCATCCCTATACAGGCCCTACAACCCCTAGTAACCCTAAACCATCATTACTACCAAAACCCGTGGACAGGACAACGCAACTTTGGAGCATGGTGAAATATGAGCCTCCAAACCCTAATACAACCCTAAATCCTGCACTCTCCACCCCAAACCCTAAACACGATAATTTTGTAGGAGACTCAGGAACCATAGGAATGTTGTCCCCCGATTAGTCTGAGGATAGATGTAGCCTGCAGGGTCTAGGGTTTAGGGTCCAAACACAGCCACCCATTCCAATTAACTACTCTAAATTCAAAACTGTGAAGCCTAAACCCTATACCCTCATCTATATACATATATACATCCCCGTATCCCTTTATATATACATATGTATGTATCCCTAAGTACCTTTTAAAGGCACCCAAAACCCTAAACGCCAAACCCAAAACCCCCAAACCCCAAAGACCCTAAAGCCCAATACCCCAACACCCCAAACCCCTAACCCCTAACCCTCCAAAATCCTTGAACCCCAAATCCAAAACCGACCACGGAATTCGGGCCTTGGAGCCAGGGAGCAAAGCCCGGCGAACTAGCCCTGCAGCAGTGTTCCTGGGACTTGGGGTTTAAGGTTGAAGGTTGCGGGTTTAGGTTTAGGGTTTAGGGTTTAGGGTTTCGGGTTTAGAGTTTAGGCGGGATAGATAAGATAGGGCTACTTAAAAAGAATTATACTTATATAGGGATTATGGATGTTACTGCAATAATTGAGAAACAAAATAAAAATCAAGTGGAACTCGGGATTATGCCTTCCAAGCATGAGGGATCTTTTTTGGCGGTCCCTAAAAATGTGGAGTCTATGTTGGCTTCCGGAAACTACCATATGCACTATAGTTCAAACTCCTTCAAGTGGGTTATATAGGGGATTGTAGGGAGGAGTATAGAAGGGGGTGCTAAGGGGGATACTTGGAGTTTAGACTATAGCTCATATGCAGTTTCAGCAATCAAGGCCACATCCCTGAACCTAATAGCGAAGCCCGAGAACCCAATCCCTGCGCCCTAAACCACCCTAAACCCTAAACCCGAAACCGAGAACCTTAAATCCTAAATTGTAGGCACTCCTTCAACCATACACGCCAAACCCTGCAGTACCCTGACCCCTAAACGAAACACCCTATAAAGCATGAGCCCAAACCCTAAACTAGTAATCCTAGTCCCTAAGATGTACCATAGTAATGTGCAGTATAGCACTAAACTATACTGTCATTGTCCCTGAACTCCTGATCCCCGCCAGCTCACTGGTTCTTAGTAGGGAATAGAGGAAAAGAATCCCTATATAACATATTCCCCTATTCCCTACTAACCCTAAACCCTAGACAAAGTAGACCCTAAACCCCAAAAAACCCAAACCCATACACCCACGAACCCTAAAACCCGAAACCCATGAACCCCTAAACCCTAAACCCTAAAGCCCCTAAAACACCTAAACCCTAAACCCTAAACCCCTAAACCCAAAACACCTAACCCCCTAAAACCCTAAAACCCTGAGAAAGTTGGGCCAAGACTCGGCGAGGGAATCTTGAGCTCCAGGCCGCACCAAAGGTCCACCCAGGCTGAGCGATGTGTAGGGTTTAGGGTCTTAGTGTTTATAAGGTTTAGGGTTTTAGGACTTAAGGTTTAGGGTTGTAGGGTTTAAGGTTTAGGGTTTTAGGGTTTGGGGTTTAGGGTTTTAGGGTTTAAGGTTTAGAGTTTAAGGTTTAGGGCTTGAGGTTTTGGGTTTATACAAATTGTATAGGGTTCAGGTCGCGAGTTGTTGACCGACTTTTGGGCGAGTTTTGACGGAGTTTCCGTTTTAATTTTTGCCCTATACAACTTGTATTTATCTGAGCTTGAGGGATTTAGGGTTTAGGGTCTTGGGTGTTGGGTTTAGGGCTTATATGGTAGATATTGGGGTTATCATATAGGGGTTATATAGGGGTTATATGGGGGTTATATTGGGATTCTACAGGGGTTACATTGGGGGAATATTGGGATAATGGAAAAGAAACTGGAAACTACCATTTGGGCTTAGGGTTTTGGGCTTCGGGTTTAGGGTTCAGGGCGTGAGGTTTGGGGTTTAGAGTTCAGGGTTTAGGCTTCAGGGTTTAGGCTTCAAGGTTCAGGGTTTGGGATCTAGGGTGGGGTTGGGTCATTGGGAGCGAGGATTCTATGCGGCTTAGTTGGGCTACAGGGCCTAAGGTTCACAGTTTAGGATCTAGACCTTAATGATTGCATGACTGGACGTAGGAACGACTAGGCTTTAGGGAGATGGATGACGGTGAGAATAGAGATTGGGGTT